GCGGGGACGCCGGGCACCGCCTCCCAGCCTGGGCGCCCGCCCCACCGCCCGGGACCCGCCACCGGGGGCGCTGCGGCCCAGGACCGGGCACCCGCGCCCATCCCGGAGATTGCGAGGTGATGGAGAGCAGCAGCTGGGAGTGAGCGCCTCACCTTCTCGCTGCTTTAACAGTATCTGCGGAAACTGAAAACACCCGAAGCGAAAAATCGCCTTCCACAGAGCACCTGGAGAGAGGTACAGGTGACATTTGGATACATTTGCTTCTATTCTTTTTACACGGAGACAGTTTTCAAATGTGTTAAACTGGCATCAGGCTGCTATCTGGCATCTCCTGTCTATTTAACTGGCTGGCATCAAGAAATAAGAATTTTTCCCTATTCATAATTATCACTGCCAGTTTGGTTTTTCCTTTCGTTTTGTTTTATTTTGAGACAGAGCCTCACTATGTATCCCTGCTGGCTTAGAACTCACTATGTAACACCAGACTGGCCTCGAACTCACAGAGATCCGCCTGCCTCTGCCTCCCGAGTGTTGGGAGTAAAGATAAAAGCTAACATTCCTTGGCACTGCCAGTATACTTTTTTTTTTTTATATGAGTGTGTATGTGTGACCACATGTATGGGCACGTGCAAGAGGTTGCCAACGGAAGCCAGAAGAGGGTGTTGGATCCCTTGGCTTTTGTGAGCCGTTAGGGTTAGGGTTAGGGTTAGGGTTGGTTAGGGTTAGGGTTAGGGTTAGGGTAGGGTTAGCAGTTGTGAGCCGCGGAAAGTCGGTGCTGAGAACCAATGAACTCCTGTCCTCTGTAAGATCAGAATGAATTCTTAAGCCTGAGCCATCTCTTCAGCCCTCCAAAATGCTAATAGTTCTGTATTGTTCCAAGTGTGGATGAAAGCCAATCTGTGTAATCAATCTATAGTTCCACTTTTAGGCTAGGTCATATGTGTAGACAACACTACATTTAAATCTATCTGATAGGGCTAATAACATTTTTTTAATTCTTGTAATTCTACAATCCATAAACACTGATAACATCTGTATCACTGGGCTTTTTCCATGCATGTAGCCATAAACTTAGGTTTGCAACCACAGAAATATGTATGTATATATACATATGTACAAATAAATCCTGGAGCTTCTTCCTTCAGCATCAAACACACAGAAAGAGTGAACCCTTAAAAACAACACATGCATTGGAGTATTTTTAAAAGTCTTGAAGAGCAGCGACCCAGGGAAACAGGCTGAGGAGCTAGGGCTGGATGCTTCAAGTGAGTGGATGTGGTCCAAGAAGAGCTAAGCAAAGACAGTGCCCTGGGAGCTTCCAGGTTAAGGGCTCTAGAAATGACCAACAACAAACTCCTGAGAAGCTGCTAAAGCCTTAAGGGGAAAAACAGTTCAGTGTGGTGGTGTGCTTAACTCCCTTCTGTTTTCGTGTGTGCTCCTCTTTTCATATGTATATGTGATCTCTGTGACTTTCATCTACTTCCATTTCCTCATGTTTGTCTTTTCCTGTGCGTGTGTGTGCGCGCAGGCACGCGCCATGGTGTATAAGTGGAGGCCATAGGACAACTTTCAGGAGTTGGTTCTTTCCTTCCATCATGTGGGTCACAGGATCAAACTCAGGTCTACTGCCTGTAACTCCAGTTCCAGAGGATCTGACACCCTCTTCTGACCTCTTTGGGCATTGCATAACAGGGGTGCACTTACACACATGCAGACAATATACACTCATACACATAAAATAAAAATAATAAATGAAACCAGGCCTGATGGTGCAGGCCTTTATTCCCAGCATTTGGGAGGCAGAGGCAGGCGGATCTCTGTGAGTTCAAGGCCAGCCTGGTCTACACAGTGAGTTCCAAGCCAGCTGGAACTACAGGGAGACCCTGTCTCAAAAAGATCAAAATAGTAATAGTAATAATAATAATAATTGAAAAAGATATAGAAAATCAAGAAGATTATTGAAAACAACACTATCAGCCATGTGGCTCAAACTGATATTTATAGAGCACACCTCCCCGCAAAAGCAAAAGAGTATTTCCAAATGTACCTGGAAGGTTAATCATGTTCTGGGCAATACAACAAATTTTGGTATATTTAGAAGTATATCCCAGCACTTGGAAGGCAGAGGCAGGCAGATCTCTGTGAGTTCCAGGCCAGCCTTTTCTACATAGCAAGTTCCAGGTCATCTGGGGCTATGGCCACAAGCAGTCCAATAGAGGCAATTCCCCAATTGAGGCTCCCTCAACCCAGGTGTGTCAAGTTGACACTAACCCTATCCAGCACAATAATGAAATATTTTTTAAAATCATTATTCTAATCTTAAGGTTCAGAAGAAAATAGGAGAACCTTTTTCCTACAGGGTCCAGATCAGTGCCTAGTCATTGTGCCAAGGTAAATGTAGAGCCTCTTAGTCAAGGACACCCTCCTATGCATCTTCAGGAAACCATTCCTACATTTTAGAAGTTTCATCCACTCATATATACAGCACGCCCTCCCTCCTCACCCATGTTGACCTGTAATCAGTGGATATTTGGGTAAATGGATGGGTCTTTTCCCTATGTTGTTGACTTTTTCAAGTCTCCTTTCCTTCCTTCCTGTCTTCTTCCCTCCCTCCCTCCCTCCCTCTCTCCCTGCCTCTTCTTTTTTTCTTCCTCCTTTCCTCCTTCCCTTCTTTTCTTTTTCTTTCTTTTTTTGTTTTCTTTTGTAATACTGGGGATTGAACCCAGGGTCTTGCACATGCTCGGTAAGCATTCCACCACTGAACCTCACCCTCATCCTTCTTTTTCTTAACTATTTGAGACAGGGCCTTCCTAAGTTGTCCAGATTGACCTTGAACTTTTGTTTTCTTGCCTCAGCTTCCAGAGTAGTTAAGATTCAAGATAGTCACCACCATGCATAGTCCATGTTTTCTTTGGTAAGTGAAAGGAAGAGCCAATATGGTGGTACAGCCTGTAATCTCAGCACTAGGGAGACAGGCGGGAGGATCAGGCATTTGAGACCAGCCTTAGCTACATAGCAAGTCTGAGGCCATCCTGGGATCAAAAATTAAATACATGCATATATAAATCCTGAAAAGAAAAAGGAAAGGAGAGTAGACAGATTGCTGATGGGTATGAAGGATGGGTTAGATAAGTAGAATGGGTATGAAGCCTATCCAGCAGCCCAGTAGCCTGGGCCAAGAGAGGAATAGGTGGACTGTAAATTTCCATATTAGTCCTAACATGGCAAAGATGCGGCATACAGAAAGAGGTGGGGAATTCCAGAACCTCACATAGATGGCAGAAGAAAATGGGTCATTTCAGAGGGGGTGAAAACGGACCCTGTGCACTGCTACATGGCAGCAAGTAGACCAGGTATCTGGAAATGGCTATATCAGCAGCACTGTATGTGACTGTTTTTCTGGCCTAGAGTGGCTATGTGAGTACCACGCTGTGTGGCACCCCGGAGGGGCCTAAAAGTAGAAGACACTATGGGTATGTTGTTGGGGAATGAAGCAGATGTTAGTAGAATGGAAGATGGCCAGCCACTGGGAACATTGTCAGAGTGCTAATGCTTCCCGACACTGAGTCTTAAGAGAAATATTTCATCTCTCTGACAATTTTCCAGAAAACACATCTTTAAAAGCATTTGTGATGCTGGGCATGGTGGCACATGCCTTTAATCCCAGCACTTGGGAGACAGAAGTAGGCAGATCTCTGTGAGTTCAAGGCCAGCCTGGTATACACAGTGAGTTTCAGGCCATCTGGAGCTACAGGGAGACCTGTCAAAAAATCCCCCCTCCCCAAAAGTTTATGATATACTTCACATACTATACCCAAAGTATACAATTTACAGTGTATAATTTACAGATATCTGCAGCCATCAGTGCCAGCCAATCTTAGAATGTTTTCCTCGCCTTCGAGAAAGAATTACAGCTCTTTAGCTGTCATCTCCCCATCCCTCCCAACACTACTGCAACAGCCAGCCCTACGGAACCACTAATTGACTTTATTTCCTTGTTCAAAGCATTACATATGAATAATTTGTGTACTTTATAGCTGGCTCTTTTTCTTAGTGTCATGTTTTCAATGTTCTCAAGGATTGTCAGTGATGTATCAGTACTTTATTTCCTATAGCTAAATTGTATTCTATTATATAGATTTATGATATGTGATATTTTGTTTATCCATTCCTCAGTTAATGAACATTTGTGTTGTTTCCTTCTTTTGTATTATGATTAATGCTGCTATAAATATTTGTTTGCAAAGTTTTTGGTGTCCATGTTTCCACCGCTCTTGGGTACATAACTAGCTTAGGATTCCTGGTTATATGACAACTCTGTTTAGAAGAACTGCCACATTGAGAATGTGTGTTTATGGGCTGGGGATGAGCTCAGTAGGTAGAATGATTACCTAGCATACATGTAGCCCTGTCTTTGATCCTCAGCACAGCAGGAACTGGATATAGTGGCACAAGCTTGTAATCCCAGCACTCAGGAGATAGAGGTAGGAAGATCAGTTAAAGTTTGAGGCCAGCCTAAGCTGAGACCCTATTTCAAAGAAAAAAATGTACTTCTAATTAATTGAAAAATTATACCTATTCTTTGGAGACTTTATAGAACATTTTTAAGCTGGGCATGCTGGTGCACACCTTTAACCCCAGCACTCCAGAAGCAGAAGTATGCAGATCTCCAGGAGTTTGAGCCCAGCCTGGTCTACATAGCGAGTTTCAGGCCAGCTGGGGCTACAGGGAGA